TTTGTGTAGCTGTTCTAATTCATATAAATACTCTGTTAACTTAATTTTCTTCATCCCTTCTTGCTTTTTTTCCACCCCTATAGCAATCAAGATTACCCTTATATATGCCTTATGCACCTCCCATACCATAGTTACCGAAACCCCTTCCGTCTCATTTGAAATGCTGCTCTATTTCATTTTTATATTCTTGTTTCCATCTCCTGATCCTGTAAGAGCGTCTCATTTAATTTCTACATATTTATCTTGTTCTGCTCTATGCCCAGTTTTCACTTCATTGTGACAGCAGCATGGTCTGATATTAATATAACTTCTATATTTACTTATTTACAGCAACTCCAAAAGTCTATTTTCTATCATTATATAATCCAGTCTAGAATACATCCCTTGTGCTGGAGAATAAAACATATAGTCTCTTTCTCTTGAGTGTTTAATTCTGCAAGCGTCCATAAATTGACACTGATGCAACATTCTTTTGATAGACTTTAGATATTTACCTCCATCTCTCTGCACCCGTGATGATGTATCCATCCATGGATCCATGCAAAATGTAAAATCTCCTTCCACAATCAGTTTACCGGTACCCTTCTTGAAATCTATAAGTTTTTCTCAATGTATTCTCTAGATAAACCACTGGATTTTTATTAGGACAATAGATATTTGCTAATGTACATTCCACTTCCTGTAGTTTCCCTCTCAGAAACAAAACCAACCCTCTGGGTCAACCAACCTATCCTCAATATTAAGTCTTACATTCTTAGCTGGCCAAATTGCTACCTCTTTAGCACGTTTTGTTGGTGAATCAGCATAATACCAGGTTGGATAGTAATTGGAATATAGCTTAACATTTGTATCTTGAGATATGTGTCTCCTGTAAAAATACTACTTCAATAGAGCATTGATGTAATTCTCTTAGAATCTTATGACTTTTAACTGGGGTATTCAATCCTTTCACATTATAGGTCATAAAATCGACCACATTCATTCCTTATACTTTCTTTTACCAATCTACTCAGACTGAAAGAGGTGTGGATAAATATGTTCTGGAACAAGCAAGTATCTCCAGAAGAGTCCCTACGCCCTCCCGTGCTCACCCCCAATCCCCCCCCCTCTTTGGGGTATAACTCTGACCACATATGCCTAATCAATTCCCAAGCCCCAGTCCTTGGATCTCGTGTTCAGGTGCACATTGGACCTCCTAGCACCCCACCTTTACTATAATATTCTCTGTCTACCTTAAAAATGTATTCTTTCCTCCACTCCCAGAGGGGGAAAACAGGACAATATTGGAGTGATTAGAGGGGGAGAGGGGGAAAAAAAACCACAACAAGTAGTAACCCCTTCTCTCAACTACGTAATTTCCTCTCTGCTCTTCCTCCAAACTTCCCCTCTCATCTCTGCTACAATCTCTTTTTAGGGACTAATTGCCACTTCTCTTTTTCTATCCCCACACTCTCCTTAGCCCCTTCTATCCACCCTGGAATGTCCAGTTTCTGTAAATCTAATCTTTCACAAAAGTCCTGTAAATAGTTTCTCCATATTATATTACTGGGATCCCTCTCATCTTCTTCCATATAGTTGCTTTGTCGTCAAAATGATGAAATCGCACAATCACATCTCTGGGGGTTTACCTCGCCACTCCTTGGGAGCGACCAATTCTAAGTACTCGATTGATTTTCAGTTGGTCCATTACAGATCTATCTAATATGGGATTAAACACTCTCTTCATTATATCCATTAGATCCTCTTCTTGAGATACTTCTGGCAGGCCCCGAATCCTCAGGTTTTTTCCTTCTATCTCTGTTCTCTTTATCGTCCAACTTATATGATAATTTCCTTTGCTCTTTTCACAATTCGTCCATTTGCGCTTCCATTTTAGTTATTATTTGAGCGTGTTTATCCAATTTCTCCTCTGTATCTTCCACTCGTGACAATACCTGTCCCAAATCTTTATGTAGTTCAGCCATATCATTCTTTATAGCGTGCTCTAGTTTCACAAACATTTTCACTATTGCCATTTTTGTAAGCGTTTGTGAGCTTATTCCCTGTTCTTCTAATTTTTCTAAATCCAATTCCTTTTTTTCAGATTTAAAATGTCTTTGACTTGACTCAGATTGGGCACTCCCATGAGTCTCGTTTGATCTCCAATATTATTTCCTATCTCTCATTTGCCGCTTGCTCCCTGTTGTCTCTTGGGAGTTTGACACTCCGGACTTTTCTCTTGTAGGGGCATATATTTCTTTATCATACTTGAACTTGTTTGGGGTGTTTTTTGACCAACCTCCTTTTACAGATCTGCTCTTCATATTTATTGGCGTTGCATTTCTAAATTTAAAGATCAGAACAGAGTGTGGTATTCGCAGCTTCAAAAGCTACATCTATATTCCACTGCAGGTGCTGTTAACTAATAGTAGTTCTAAGCTCTCAATTGTGTATCCCTCGCATTTTCTCTCTCAAGACTTTCTTTCCCTTTTCCTTCTTCTACTTGCCTTTTCTGGACCCACTCGGTGACCCCTCTTTTGCTTTATTATTTGCCACCGACCACCTGAGTCATCTATTCCTCCCCCTCCCTGTAGTTATCTATTTATATAGGCCTTTGGCACTCGCCGCTTCCCACGCTACGCCGTCTCATTGTCTCTGCTAGCGTCCAATATACGGACATCGCATCCACTTTCAGTCCCTCTATCTTGTGGTCCGAAAGGGGTGGGGGGGGTTGTGTCATCTACCGTGGGAACCTATCAGCTCCAGTCCACACCGAACTGGCTCCTTTCCTCCGCTCCTTTGTCGGCATCTCCTAAGGCTCCCAGGACTTCTCCACGGCATGTCACCTGACCTCTCCCAGGGTTTACTGCTCCGTCTCTCACCGACACCCGCCTCCACTCCACCCAGGGGTCACAGAACCTCCTCTTGCTCCAGGGGGATCCACACCAAGAGGAGTATACACACAGCATGAGGTAGGGTGGTAAACACAAATTAGATCAGGTTCTCTTTCATCTCAAAAAAGCAGCGGGCTCCAGGAGCTCCTATTGCATGCACCCTGATGGTGCCATGCTCATGCTCCTACCCCCAGCTATGCCAAGATGACTAAATTCCCATGCACATATTTTTTTCTTATATGGTCTACCATAACATACACTCACTGCCCACTTTAAGTACACCTTGTTAGCGCCAAGAAAATATCCCCCACACCATTTACACCACCACCAGCCTGACCGTTGATGCAAGGTGTGATGGATCCATGCTTTCATGTTTAGACCAAATTCTGACCCTACCACCTGACTGTCGCAGCAACCAGTCTGCCCATTTTCCTCTGACATCAACAAGGCATTTCCACACAACTGCTGCTCACTGGATATTTTCTCTTTAGGACTGTTCTCTGTAAACCATAGAGATGGTTGTCTGTGAAAGTCCCAGTAGATTAACAGTTTTTGAAATACTCAGACCAGCCCATCTGGCACCAACAACCATGCCATGTTCAAAGTCACTTAAATCCCCTTTTTCCCCATTCTGATGCTCGGTTTGAGCTTAGCAAGTCGTCTTCACCACATCTACATGCCTTTGCAAAATGCATTGAGTTGCTGCCGTGTGATTGGCTGATTATCAATTTGTGTTACAAAGCAATTGAACAGTTTTTTTTTTTTTTTAGGTAAAAATTAATGCCATTTCCTGGTATATTACTGAATGCTACTTTTTTATGCAATTTTGGCAGACTAAGATATTTACTCAAAATATAACTGTCTGCTGCTTAAAGTGGAACTTTAGGTTCCACAATGAAAATGGAGAGACAGGCAGAATTGTTCATGCAGAAAAGACATGCTTTGTATCTTCTGCAATAAAGCTACTTACCTGCCTGTCTGTCCTTGTACAGTAAGCTGCGCAAGCGCATCTCACTGCACAAATATGGCAGTGCCGAATCTGACTGAATCTCTGCTTGTGTAGGAGTGGCATCATCTTGGTATGCTGACGCCTTAAAGTGTTTCCTTCACTGGAACTAAGGAGCCAAGCCCAACCCCTGAAAAACAACCACACACCATAATCCCCCCTCCACCAAACTTTGCACTTGGCACAACGCAGCAAGGCAAGTACCGTTCTCCTGGCAACCACAAAACCCAGACACATTCATCAGATTGCCAGACAGAAGCGTGATTCGTCACTCCAGAGAGCACGTCTCCACTGCTCTAGAGTCCAGTGGTGGTGTGCTTTACCCTACTGCATCCGACGCTTTGCATTGCACGTGGTGATGTAAAGCTTGGATGCAGCTGCTCGGCCATGGAAACCCATACCATGAAGCTCTCTAAACACTGTTGTGCTAATCTGAAGGCCACATGAAGTTTGGAGGTTTTTAGCTATTGATTCTGCAGATATTTGGCGTCTTCTGCGCACTGTGCGCTTCAGCATGCGCTGACCCTGCTCTGTCATCTTACATGGCCTACAACTTCATGGCTGAGTTGCTGTTGTTCCCAATTGCTCCCCACTTTGTTATAATACCACTAAGCGTTGACTGTTGAATGTTTAGTAGCAAGGAAATTTCACGGATGGACTTATTGCACAGGTGGCAACCTATCACGGTACCGCGCTTGAATTCACTGAGCTCCTGAGAGCGACCCATTCTTTCACAAATGTTTGTAGAAGTAGTCTGCATGCCCAGGTGCTTGATTTTATACACCTGTTGCCATGGAGGTGATTGGAACACCTAAATCCAATGATTTGGAGGGGTGTCCCAATACTTTTGGCAATATAGTGTATGTGTCCACATTTTGTCCTTTATTGACCCGAGTGACAGTCTTGGCCGGAAAATGTTCATACATAAAACTAATAACTTTAAAAACCTGGAGTTGCATAGTCCAGTTAGAAGTAGCAAAGTTGTATAATAACTTTATCTGCAGGATGTTTGAACCATATTGGCAGTTCATGATAGTACTGTATGGAAATTGAGATTTATCTTTTTTTTTTTTTTTTTTTTTTTTAATTTGGCTTTTTCCTTTTTGTTTAAATGTACACAGAGCCAGGGGAATCATCACTTTGGTGTTCACATGGCTGACTTAACCGAGACAACTTCTGTACCTGTTGTTATGGAGGTACTTCTTGAGTACCTGGAAATGCATGGCTTGTACACAGAGGGTATCTATCGCAAATCGGGGGCAGCCAACTGCATGCGAGAACTTAAAACGTCCCTGGAGAAAGGTACCTGTGGATTGCATAAAATGTATATTTGTTTACAACAGCGATTTATTTTGATCTGTAAAGCTAGGCTTCAGCCAAAGCCTTTTTTAAATTTTTGGTTAGTACTACTTTCAGGTCTTTTACTGCTGTCAGAATTGACACGGAGGAGATCTTTCACTCCCTGGAAAATGAGCAGAATTCTTCCAACAGTGACAAAAACAAAAGCACTTTTTTTTTCTCATTCATTAAGTTTTCTGGAAGTCATTTCTGTCAGGTTAAATTACCACATATAGGATGGTTGGACACTGGCAAACAAAAGGCAACTGTAGGCCAGCCAGGATAGCCTTTCCTACAACCTGCATGCCTCAGTTTTTTGGTAGTGTCCTAGGAGGATGGATGTCTTTTGGGAAAAGTGTAACCTTTTGTACTAGCGTTTTTTTCTCTTATTCTTATCAATCAAGATTCTTCTTTGCATTACTGCTAGAGCTAGTCTCTGTGATTGCAATTATCAGGGGTAGCCTATCCTCAGCTGCTTTGGAGTCCCGTAACCTTATCCCGCTGGACTGGACAATGCAGAGCTTCTATACCTGTTGTTATGTTTTAGTTCTGTCAAATTGTATGCCTTTCCATCATTATTTTTTATTTATGTGTACAGATTGTTGTAATAATTTTTTGTTTTGGATTGGAAAACAGACCCCACCTCTGTGAAGCTAGACAAGTATGCAATCCATGCTATTACTGGGATCCTAAAACAGTGGTTACGTGAACTACCTGAGCCTTTGATGACATTTGCAGAATACAGCGAGTTTCTGAAAGCTGTGGGTAAGTTTAATGTGCATGATAACTAATTGTCAAGCTAAATTTGCAGCTTTACCTCTAATTTGTGCTGTTTACTTAGAGTTGCCAGGGAAGCAGGAACAACTTTGCACCATTTACAAAGTCCTTGGACAACTTCCACAAGCTAATTACAACACCTTGGAGAGACTAATTTTTCACCTTGTCAAGTAAGTAATGCGCATGTTTTTTTGTGTACACACTATCAGCTAACAGAGCTTTCATGTGTTTTGAGAGACAGAGAGCCAGTGTAACTTAAAATATAACCGAATGCTAAAGATTAATACTTATAGTTCCCCCTCCACTCACCTCCATGCTAACTGAATTTTTAAATGAAACCTTTGTGTTTTCATTACGTATTTTAGACCAAGTGACTTCATCACTGGGTCTCTGTGCATCTCAGTACAATACAAGCAAATCAAAGCTGTTGGGAGGGGCCAGCAGGGTGCTGTACATGTTACCTAAAACATAACCGCTCCCTGTATCAGTACTCTCCCTCTAAAAAGCCCTCAGCCCTGTTGCAAATAGTGGACAGATTCTTGGGAGGAGATATACACATATGGCAGACTAGAGCAGTGAGCTTTCTAAGCAGGCTGCATTTTCATGCAGGCTACCCTAGGTAACGTCCACATGTGATACTGAGCCTCAGTGATTTAAAGAACTGAAGCCCAATGAAAGGCACAGGCCATGGACAGTCAGGGTGAGGTGGGAAGTGGTAGGTGATACTGGAAGTCCTCCAGCTAGAAAATTAGGCTGTTGTACCTGACTTGCTGCAGCTTGTAATTCACAATGTGAGAAGCTCAGAGTGTGCAGTCAAATCAGAGTAAGACATTTCCGTTCAGAAGAGCTTGTACAACTGAGCAAAACTGAAGATAAGGCTTGAGTTCAGCTTTAAACCCATACATGTTTTGCAACTCAAGCAAATAAAAGCAATATATGTATGATGGATTTATGTAACTAGTATTTTCTTATTTATAGGGTTGCTCTCTTGGAAGATATAAATCGCATGTCCCCAAATTCTTTGGCCATAGTGTTTGCGCCCTGCCTGCTTCGCTGCCCAGATAATTACGACCCTTTAACCAGCATGAAAGAGGTCTCAAAAGCTACTGCGTAAGTAATAGATCTACATTGTATTATGCATGTAATTCTGGTTTTGTGAACATCAGCTGAATCACATCGGGTGTTGCAATATACCTTGAAAATTTTGTTGTCGTATCTTGTAGATGTGTGGAAATGTTAATTAAAGAACAGCTAAGACAATACAAAATAAAAATGCAGGAAATTGGCATTCTTGAGGCAGCAGAGACGCGTGCAGTTTGCAGACTCTCCCTTCTGAGGCAAAGCACAGTAAGTGACAATTCCTCTCATAATTCTTTACTATATCATCTGTGTAGTTATGCAATCTAATCATTATCATTTTAATTGCTTATTTTTATGTCATGCCTTCCAATGTGCAAATTCTAGCTAGTCTTTTACAGTGCCTTGCAAAAGTATTCATACCCCTTGAAATTTTCCACATTTTGTCATGTTACAACCAAAAACGTAAGTGTATTTTATTGGGATTTTATGTGATAGACTAACACAAGGTGGCACATAATTGTGAAATGGAAGGAAAATGATAAATGGTTTTCAAAATGTTTTACAAATAAATATATGAAAAGTGCATTTGTATTCAGCCTCCCTGAGTCAATACTTTGTAGAACCAACTTTCACTGCAATTACAGCTGCAAGTCTTTTTGGGGATGTCTCTACCAACTTTGCACATCTAGAGAATGACATTTTTGCCCATTCATCTTTGCAAAATAGCTCGAGCTCTGTCAGATTGGATGGAGAGCGTCTGTGAACAGCAATTTTCAAGTCTTGCCACAGATTCTCCATTGGATTTAGGTCTGGACTTTGGACCATTCCTACACATGAATATACTTTGATCTAAACCATTCCATTGTAGCTCTGGCTGTATGTTTAGGGTCGTTGTCCTGCTGGAAGGTGAACCTCCACCCCAGTCTCTTTTGCAGTCTCTACAGGTTTTCTTCCAAGATTGCCCTGTATTTGGCTCCATCCGTCTTCCCATCAACTCTCATCGGCTTCCTTGTCCCTGCTGAAGAAAAGCATCCCCACAACATAATGCTGCCACAATGTTTCACGGTGGGGATGGTGTGTTCAGGGTGATGTGCAGTTAGTTTTCCACCACACGTAGCATTTTGATTTTGGCCAAAAAGTTCAATTTTGGTCTCATTTGATCAAGCACCTTCTTCTGCATGTTTGCTGTGTCCCCCACATGGCTTCTCGCAAACTGCAAACGGGTCTTCTTATAGCTTTCTTTCAACAATGGCTTTCTTGCCACTCCTCCTTAAAGGTCAGATTTGTGGAGTGCACGACTAATAGTTGTCCTGTGGACAGATTCTCCCACCTGAGCTGTGGATCTCTGCAGCTCCTCCAGAGTTTCCATGGGCCTCTTGGCTGCTTCTCTGATTTAATGCTCTCCTTGCCTGGCCTCTCAGTTTAGGCGGATGGCCATGCCTTGGTAGGTTTGTAGTTGTGACATACTCTTTCCATTTACAGATGATGGATTGAACAGTGCTCCGTGAGATGCTCAAAGCTTGGGATATTTTTTTTATAACCTAACCCTTTTTTTAAACATCTCTACAACTTTATCCCTGACCCGTCTGGTGTGTTCCTTGTCCTTCATGATGCACGCCACACTTTTCATATATTTATTTGTCAAACATTTTGAAAACCATTTATCGTTTTCCTTCCACTTCACAATTATGTGCCACTTTGTGTTGGTCTATCACATAAAATCCCAATAAATTACAATTACATGTTTTGTTGTAACATGACAAAATGTGGAAAATTTCAAGGGGTATGAATACTTTTTCAAGGCAGTGTATACAGTGGGGCAAAAAAGTATTTAGTCAGCCACCAATTATGCAAGTTCTACGACTTAAAAAGATGAGAGAGGCCTGTAATTGGCATCATAGGTAGACCTCAACTATGAGAGACAAAATAAGAAAAAAAAATCCAGACAATCACATTGGAAAGAATTTATTTGCAAATTATGGTGGAAAATAAGTATTTGGTCAATATCAAAAGTTCATCTCAATACTTTCTTATATATCCTTTGTTGGCAATGACAGAGGTCAAATGTTTCCTGTAAGTCTTCACAAGGTTGGCACACACTGTTGCTGGTATGTTGGTCCATTCCTCCATGCAGATCTCCTCTAGAGCATTCTGGATCATACAAATGCTCTCTAGCAAACTTCAAACGGGCCCGGACATGTAGTGGCTTAAGCAGGGGGACACGTCTGGCACTGCAGGATCTGAGTCCCTGGCAGGGTAGTGTGTTACTGATGGTAGCCTTTGTTACGTTGGTCCCAGCTCTCTGCAGGTCATTCACTAGGTCCCCCCGTGTGGTCCTCGGATTTTTGCTTACCGTTCTTGTGATCATTTTGACCCCACGGGGTGAGATCTCGCGTGGAGCCCCAGATCGAGGGAGATTATCAGTGGTCTTGTATGTCTTCCATTTTCTAATTATTGCTCCCACAGTTGATTTGTTCACACCAAGCTGCTTGCCTATTGCAGATTCAGTCTTCCCAGCCTGGTGCAGGTCTACAATTTTGTTTCTGGTGTCCTTCGACAGCTCTTTGGTCTTCACCATAGTGGAGTTTTGGAGTGTGACTGTTTGAGGTTGTGGACAGGTGTCTTTTATACTGATAACAAGTTCAAACAGGTGCCATTGATACAGGTAATGAATGCACAACAGAGGAGCCTCTTAAAGAAGAAGGTACAGGTCTGTGAGAGACAAATCTTGCTTGTTTGTACGTGACCAAATACTTATTTTCCACCATAATTTGCAAATAAATTCTTTCCAAATCAGCCAATGTGATTGTCTGGATTTTTTTTTCTCATTTTGTCTCTCATAGTTGAGGTCTACCTATGATGCCAATTACAGGCCTTTCTCATTTTTTTAAGTGGGAGAACTTGCACAATTGGTGGCTAAATACTTTTTTGCCCCACTGTAGATGTAAACTGAGCATGCTTGTAATGTACAGTTGTGACCAAAATTATTCAACCCCCACTGAAATTGAGTGTTTTGGCCAGTTTGACATTGCTTTTGATCATTCAGTCATCTTGCTTACATTTACATTAAAGAGGCACTTGTAGGTCAGACAAATATAACATAACAGTTATAATGAAATAACCACAAATGTCTTTTCTGTGCTCACAGCATTATCAGTTTTATTCAACCCCCAAGTGACATTCAATCTTAGTACTTAGTACAGCATCCTTTTACAGTTATAACAGCTTTTAAACGTGAAGCATAGCTTGACACAAGTGTCTTGCAGCGATCTACGGGTATCTTCGCCCATTCTTCATGGGCAAAGGCCTCCAGTTCAGTCACATTCTTAGGCTTGCGCACTGCAACTGCTTTCTTTAAGTCCCACCAGAGGTTCTCAATCGGATTTAAGTCTGGTGACTGCGATGGCCACTCCAAAATGTTCCAGCCTTTCCTCTGCAACCATGCTCTAGTGGACTTGGAGGTATGCTTGGGATCATTGTCCTGTTGAAAGGTCCAACGTCTCCCAAGCCTCAGGTGTGTGACGGACTGCATCACGTTTCCATCCAATATCTCCTGGTACTGAAGAGAATTCATGGTACCTTGCACACGCTGAAGCTTCTGTACCTGCAGAAGCAAAACAGCCCCAAAGCATGATTGACCCTCCACCATGCTTCACAGTAGGCAAGGTGTTCTTTTCATCATAGGCCTTGTTCTTCCTCCTCCAAACATAGCGTTGATCCATGGGCCCAAACAGTTCTAATTTTGTTTCATCAGTCCACAGAACACTATCCCACAACTTTTGTGGTTTGTCCACATGGCTTTTGGCATACTGCAGTCGACTCTTCTTATTCTTTGGAGACAGCAAGGGGGTACGCCTGGGAGTTCTGGCACGGAGGCCTTCATTACGCAGTGTGCGTCTTATTGTCTGGGCTGAAACTTCTGTACCCACATCTGACAAATCTTTTCTCAGTTCCTCAGCAGTCACACGGGGACTTCTCTCCACTCTACGCTTCAGGTAGCGCACAGCAGTCGAAGTCAGCATCTTCTTTCTGCCACGACCAGGTAGCGTTTCAACAGTGCCCTTTGCCTTGAATTTGCGAATGATGCTTCCTAAGGTGTCTCTTGGTATGTTTAACATCTTTGCAATCTTCTTATAGCCATTGCCCTTCCTGTGAAGAGAAATCACCTCTTCTCTTGTCTTCCTGGACCATTCTCTTGCCTTCACCATGTTTGTAACCACACCAGTAAATGTCTAGAAGGAGCTGAGTATCACAGTCATTTTAAAGCTGCCTAATTGGTGCTTATTATGCTTGATTGCTGCTCGGTGACATCCACAGGTGTTTTCAATACCTGATGGAAAGCACCTGTATGAACCTCTGTTCTTCAGAGTGGTAGTCTTTAAGGGGTTGAATAATTGTGGCAATGAAGAAACCACATAAGAACCATTTACTACTGTATTACATAAACAATTGATGTCATTTTAGTTGCATTTGGGTAGTTACAACGTCCTTGTAGGATTTGATTCTGAATACAATTCCAAATGTACACTATAGTCCCTAAACCCCTTTACAGCATTGGGGGTTGAAAAGCGCCTCTAAATGTTGATAAATCGCTGTATAGTCCATTTAAGTGCATAGTTAGGAATAAATTCAACTGAAATTTCTATTGCATAGAAAATGTAAGTATTTTTGTGGGCTGTGACAGATGCAGGAGTAATGAAGGAAGCCCTGGAGAGGCAAGTATAACATGGTCAGGAAGTTGGTTTTTTCACCCACACACTTTCCTTTTGTCCTGAATGGGCAGGGTGGTACTATTTCTGTGATAGGATTATTGGTAAAAAACATTTCTTAGTGCAATGTACTGATTTAAGTGTGTTTAAAGCCTGAGAGTTGTTCTCCTCCTTTTTTCCTGTGGCAGGCATGGCCTGGTCATTTAGGATTTATTTCCCCTATTGATGACTGCCTGGTAGGTATAGTTGCTTTCCACCACCTCTGCATGCCACCACTCGAATCACTAAAATGGAATGTCAGATAATTAAAACAGAGCCTAATTATAATGGACAAAAGTCTTATGGAAAAGTACAACACATCTTTGTGGATTTGGTTCAGTCGTTATGTTGTGGGGTTTTTAACTTTTCGAGAGAGTTTTTTGTTTTATTATTTTTTTTTTTAATTTTGCTTTAAAAAAAAAAAGTTTGCCAACTAAAAGTGAAGAGCATTAGCTATTACCTCCAGTCTATATCAGTCCACAGCCTGGAAAAAGATATCTCCCCACAGTTCTCTTCTATTATTTGCAATTCCAAAATGCCATAAAGCATCTTGGAGCTTAGTATAAGCTAGAATGATGATTCATTTTCATTTTGTCCATTAAAATTGGTGCTCAGCAGGATTTCCCACTACATGCACCTAGATCTACAATTTGCTTTTCAAAATTAATGGCTGTGGAGTACCTTTAGGGCTGCACTGATCTAAACCTCCTAAAGACATAGGAAACAAAATCTGTTTGTTTTAAAGGACCATTTCAAGAATGATATTTCAGTTTGTATCAGATGCTAGTAAATTAAAACACCTAACCCCTGTCTGCAGAGCGCTGAATCGGCTATGTTGTTGCCCTTTCCATGTTGGCTTTTCATTTTGTGTTGGAAACAGGCCAACAGGAGGGGATAAGTAGACCAAATGACACCCCTGTTTTATGCAACATACGTTCTAAATTAAAAAACATTTTTCTAATATCATATATATATATTTGTACAGCAGTTTGGGTTGAGGGGCAGGGTTAGGGAGAGCACAGAAATATCTGTATTTTATTTTTGACAACCCATGTTTTAGTAGTGCTAAAGCTTGGGAAGCGCTTAACATTGCAGTCTGGTGGATAACTCCATCGACCAAACTAATTTAACTGAAATATCACTTTTGAGTGCACTGAGCCTTTGCAGGTAAACTAACTTTTACCAGATTTGCATTTGTTACCTGAACCCCAGTCCAATCAGTAAGAAGTCACTGCAGCTGGGGTAACGGGTCACAAAAAGGGTGAATTCTAAGGAAGTTAAAGTACATCTAAGGCCAAAACGTTTTTGCATTTTTAATTTTGGATACAGTAAAGAATGTTTTTTTTTTTTTTTTTTTTTTTTTTGCTACCTGTGTCCCATCTAACAGATTTTACTTAATGTCCTGTGGCTGTGGATACAACTGGGAGTGATGTAAGATCTCAAAAAAGTGAGGTAAATTCCCTCTTGGTCATCACCAGACAACTCAAAATTTTGGATTTTTCCTCACTTTGTTCACCAGAACAAATAAAGGGATGAGTCTCCTCAGCAATAAAAAAAATAAATAAAAATAAAATCAATTTTACATCTAAAATGTAACGTTTTGGTTGTAGATAGACTTGGGTTTGTTAACATTTATATATTATACTTGTGGTTAATTACATTTTTAAATGACAGAACAAGAGCCCATCTCCCAGTGGAAATGGTTTACCTGATCTGGAGGCAGTACAAGAGGAGCAGTTGACAGACTGTGAAGTAGCCCGTGAATCAGAGTTCCTGATAGAGAGGATACAATCTATCAAGGATGAGAAGTGAGTGAGACTTGCCATATACAAACAGGAAGACACCAAAGTGTAATGATAAATGATGATCTCATCACATATTTATTTTCTCTCTAATTTTTCTGTTTAACAGAGAGGACATTACTTATCGGCTACCAGAGCTTGAACAACGTGGATCAGATGAAGAGAATATGGACTCTGAAACCTCAAATAGCACTGAGAGCTTATTGGATGACAGACCTGTTCATACAGAAAAGGAAGGTCAGTATTAAGGTAGTGTGTCCCTTATATTACTTCTTTTACTGCACTGCATGCCATGTTGCAACCTTCTTATGCTCATTAGAAGGTACATGTTTTGTGCAGAGAAACTGTAATTTTAAAACATATCCCCATATAGTTTTTTTCCCTGTCGAAAATCCGATAACAAAGGATGTTTAAAGTGTGGCTTTACTTTTTTTGGGGGGGGGGGGGGGGGGGTGGGAGAACAATTCTCCGGTCATTTACTTTAATGGCAAGAATTTACGGAAACTGAACTGTACCTATGCTGGTGTTGGAACTTGCCTAACACAGATCCTATTTACTTCCTGATTCCTAAATGCTTCCCAGTCTTCTGGCTACATTTATAAGACTAGTTGTCATTTTTCGATCGAAAACTCATAGGAACAGGCTGTAAACAAATCACATAAGTAAGACATTTCTTCTTTGGGGTAGGTTTGTTTAAGAGTGTATAGTACACCACCAAGGCAGCAATCGGCCACCTCCTAAAAGAGTGGTAAGTCTTTAGAATCATCTTTAAAGAAGCTTAATCTTAAAAAAATAATCACAGATTGTTACAATTTTGATACCGAATACCCAGAAATTAGAACGATCTTATGCTTGCTTAGATGGCTAGCCTAACCTGTTAAATAAGGGTACCAAAGATTGTTTGGAAGTGAGAAATGACAGTGACTCTGTGTTCAGCATTTCCCACAATTGCAATGCATGTCATTCTGTATGTGTCACAGACTGACTTTGATTCTAAAAATCCAGGAGAAACTTGAAGAATATTGTGCGAAGAAGCTGCCTGTAATGTGGCAGATCATGGCAGATCATTCAATATTAGTAAATGGGTTTTTTTTAGTACTGCATTTATTAAAATGCTCATTTGTTACATTTTCAGTTTGCTTGCTTGGCCAGATATGAAGACATTGCTTCTCTATTAAATGCATGCAGTTGCCATCACTAGTTAAGCAAGAATATGGCTTACATAGTTATCACATTTTCTTCTACAGCAACATGTGTGGTGGACTCTGCTGTCAAGCCTCAACCAGTTGAGAATCCCAAACCTCTTCCATCCAAAGCACCTCTCTTCACTTTGTCCGTGCCTCCAACAACTGTCAAGCGAAGACCGTCGTCTTTTCTTGCAAAAATGAGGGGTCCTAGGCGTAACCCTGTAATGCCAAATGCCAATATAAAATTGCCTCCTGGGTTAACAAAGACCGTAGACTATGCTGAGGAGTCCAGTAATGTTCGGAGGAGGGAACAGCCTGGGAGGAGAACAGACAGTATCCAGTCTGTCTATGTCCCTGAAGGAACAGAGCTGGAGGCTACACAGGGAATTTTAGAATATGAGCCCACTGCAAAACTTAAACGGCGATTTTCAGACCCTCACCTGCAGATTCCCTGCTCAGAGGAGTCCAACCTCTAAAACATCTTCTGTTCAACAATGCGAGATGTACTCTAGGAACGCCATGTTTTATAATGGACAGGCATGTTTGTTGAATCAGTGATGTGGAATTTGGGTTTGTATGCCAGTAGAGAGCAAAAAGATTACATGAAATATTTAAAGTGTTCACTTATCTGTTTGAGGGTTCTGTATTAAGATGAATGTATAAAGTGTGTGTAAGGAGTGAGTGTTACTCTTCCTACAGTATTGTAGGTTATTCAGATGCAATCCTTTCATTCCAGTTTTGTTATATAATAGGACCAAAGGTGAGATTATTTTGCCTTGTTACAGTAATATTTTTTTAAACATATATAACATTAGCATTTTTTAAATATGTTGCCATTTTTTTTTACATAAATATATATAACTAGTAACAGGCCAAAATATTGTTTGAGAATGATGGAGGTTGGAGTCTTCTATTTTAAGTGTTTTTGTTTTAAAGAGTTGACCAAGAGTGCAAGATACATTTGTCTAAATAGAGAATTCTGATGTGTTTTTCAGAGGACCGGTAGTAGAAAACCTTAAATGATCTCTAGAAACACAGATTGTTTTGCATAGTGACACAAGAAACTTTACTTGAAGCAGGAGAATCAACATTATGATGTATTAGTTATTATATTGGGCTTGCTTTGCTCATGTAAGCACTAGTCACTCTTATTCACACCGAATGCGGCTTTGAAATTGTGCAGCTGCTGGTCAGTGTGATTTCATGTGCAGCTTGCCGACATCTGTTTGACTTCATGCAGAGATGTCAATGCAAGTCGCACATTAAGTCACCAAAAATAGTTCAGGAACCTTCTTCAAAATCAGTACAAGTCAGAATCGCACTGATTTGAACGGTTCCATAGGCACAAATAGGGTGTGACTTGTCATGCGATTTTGTACTGTCAAATTGCATTGGAGTGAACAGGGGGCTTAGGACCCTTTCACAGTTGCACATTAATGCAACAAACCTGCTCTAAGTGCATTGAGTACCATTCATTGAGTACCATACTCCATATTCCTGTACAGTAGAGAGCAATGTAAATACTGTGCATTGTGATGCGCTGCCTTGCTTAAATTGCACTGCAAGGAATTACTAGAGTGTGAATGGGCCCTGAGGAATTGGGTTATGCTGCATCCTCCAGTTTTAATAAACCACAACTTGTAGCTTTGCTACTCTGGGAATGCTAACATAATGCATTTCTAAGCAGAAAATCACTAATGATGGCAAACATTTGACAAAAGCTGGCCCTTTTTGTTATTTGTTTGTTTTCAATAGACAGTTCATTGCTGGGGAGCAATCTGTGTGCATGCAATTGCCTTGTTATCAAGGCAAAGTAATGAAAACTTTGTGATCTCTTAAGCTGGCCATAGATGGATAGTTTTGTTTTTTTTTGGTCAACCAGTCACACATTTGAAGTAGATGAAGGAATCCTCCCCACAGCGCTATTGTATTCTGACAGAGGGACTCCTGAGTCAGAATACACTGTTCAGCACTACAGCACTGATCAAAGGAGGATTTTCCAACATTCCTATTCGAGAGAAGCTGATCGTTGGATCGACTTCTCTCTAGTGGAAACAGCTATAGATGGTTCGAAATTCAGCCAGTCCTTGCTGAACCAGCTAAATTTTGATCCATCTATGGCCAGCTTTACCTTTTGTGTACTGCTGCTTCATAATTGCACATTATAGGATTACCCATTGGTGTCTATGAGGCTGACACATAATCCTGACAGCCATGAAAGCGATCATCTGAGAACGTTTGCAGAGACAGAGCTTCAAATCTGACCAGAGGATGTAAGTGTAACGTTACATGTGGGCTGTCCCATCATAAACAACAAAGGATAAAATGGGTAAAAGTTTTTTGGGTGGCAGCGTTCCACAATAAAAACAACTAAAGATTTCAGGCAGGCATGGCTACAACCTCATGCTGGCAGTAGACTGTTTCATGTGCCTTGTCTTTTCTATGCCTGTGGGCTACACAGAGGTCACAACATTGCCATATTGCACACAGAAAGGGAAAGATAGTCATCCCAAAATTAACATATTGAGGTTATTCACACAGAAAATACATTTTTGCTTGAAGTGAGCCTAACATTTATCAATCAGAGCATTGACTGGATTATTACCTAGATGTTTTAAAAAAGATTCTTCTGACAAAGAATTTTTACCTTTCCTTCAGTCTGTAAAACTTCCCTGTAAATACTTAGATTTGTAGTAATCAACCATTTTCTGTTACTGGTGCAAGCAATGCATTCATTTTGGTGTGCTCTCTCTGTAACAGGTGAGTAATAATACCAAGAGCCCTCTCATTACTGAACTGGAATTTAGCAATTTTTCTGTTTGCAATTTATTATGGAACAAATGGTACACAAGTTATTTAGCGGTTTTCTTATACTGTTACAGTACTGTTACGGTTCCCATATTTGTAATTTGCACAGCCGATTCATATTTTATGTAACCCCTAAGTGTCAAAGTGCCTTATTGCCCAGAGATTGTTTTCATATAATGAACTTGGTGTACAGCACTAACAGATAGTGACCAACCTTATTACACAATCAGTGGACCAGATATGAAATCTTTAGTTTTTTTTTTTTAATGTATGTCTACCCTGACCTTTGATTGTCCCTGGAGTAGTCAGTTGGTATTATTAAAGCCTTCTTGTGTTCTTCCCATGCGGAACTGAAGCAGTAACCAAATGTTAAAACAAAACATGCTTTTGTCAAAATCATTAACTTTCCAGTTTAACTGGCAGTTCCCTTTCTACAGGAGTATTCACCCCCTGCAGAGTTTTAGCAACACTAAGAAGAAATAATTCCAGGCTATACATGCAGCACCTTGAAGATCTCTTTATATCAGTTCTGTGTGTTACTAAATGATGGGGTGGCGGAATATCATCTACACCAAAAATCTGTTTCTTTCTCATCCCCTGAGGGACACAGGAATTTAGATACAGTCAGGGTATACTACCACCTACAGGAGTGCTGGACACTGGCACACAGAAAAATTTTAAACCAGTCTCTGTTTACCCTTCCTCTACCTAACATGCCTCAGTTTTTTGCTAATGTCATCGGAAAATGGACATATTTTCTTCTGCTCTGCCAAGTAAAGTCGAAGTGTTTTTTGCTAACCGTTTTCTTTTGATTTCCTTCATGGATTTCTTCTTGCAATAACTTCAGTTAAGATTGCTTGCTACACTGCTGCTTGATCTGCTCTCTACATAACTGCTTTCTGGATCTGGCTTTCCCAAGCCTGGCTTTGAAATGTCATACTCGGAACGCACTGCATTGAACATGCAGGGCTAGCCTAGAATGTGACATTTGGGCGCTAGGCTCTTGCATTATGGTGTCTTCCAGACCTTTGTGTACTGGAAAAAGTTAGTTACAAAGTGCTTTCCAGGTCCACAGATGTGTCATAGCCTCAGAGCATGACCCTGTCTCTAAAGACTCACTCTGAGAGACTGTTTGGCCTGAAGCAGTGGGAGCCACTTAACTATAGCATCACTTGCTGCCTTTCTTATTTCCTGCCACTGCCCATCTCACCACGGTTTAAGGCTGTGGTTCTGAGCATCAGCATCATCTGCTG